GTGTGTGTGTGTGTGTGTTACTAGGACAGGTCTCCACAAAGTAAATCAGTAATTTCTAAAGTAAAGACTTGGTTTTAGCTCAGGGTAAAGTTAGGCTTGGGTTAGGTTTAGGCTGAGGCAGTGTGTGTGTGTGTGTGTGTGTGTGTGTGTGTGTGCTGGTATTAATACACTGCTGCTTGTCTTCAGGGACAATTCTTCACACTGTGAATCACTTTGTAAGGCAGGGTGTCCAACTCCAGGCCTCGAGGGCCGGTGTCCTGCAGGGTGTAGATCTCACCCTGGGTCAGCTCACCTGAATCACATGATTAGGTCATTACCAGCCTCTGTGAGGAGATAACTCAGCCATTTAAATCAGCTGTGTTGGATCAAGGACACATCTAAAACCTGCAGGACATCGGCCCTGGAGTTGCCCACTCCTGGTGTAAATCTTTCCCACCACAAAAGCAACACTCCTACTGTTTCACAACAGTACGCCCTCTGAAAACAGCTGTGAACCTCTATTGTGCACGTACAGGGACCTGCCTTCCTTCAGGGAACATGTCCCCATAATATAATAAAGCCCAATGTAAAAGAATTAGGAGAGAGCCATAACTTCAATTTCAGTGGTTACAGGGAATTAAACTGGTAATTCCATAACAAATGTTTTAAAAGTTTTCTGACTTTACCCCAAAAAGTATTAAAAGTTTCTTTTAGCTTACATTAAGGTTAAGTTTGGCTGTTGTTGAAGCTGGTGCGAGGCTCTGTGGGGACACGCCCCCATAATTCATTCAGATGTTCCAGTTAGGCCGAGGTCAGACAGATAGCAGCTGTGGTTACAGTAGATCACACCGAGTGGATCAATGTGCTGTAAACATGACTGCATATGTACTTTATATGTAACTGTGTTTGACTGCATGTTTAATATGAGTGTGATTTAAGGAGTGAACGTGTGAGGAAATGAGAGGATGAATGAGCTAATAGCAGAACAAATGAAATGGTGAATGTGTGACAGCCCCAGAACAGAAGTGATGAAGAGAACACAGGAATGTGTGAGGAGCAGAGGCTGTAAGTCACAGATGGAAATGTTTCAGCGAGTGAGTGAATGAACTGCTGTTTGAATCCAGAGGCAGAGGGTGAATCGCTGTCCTCCTTTAACCCCGCTTTGGTTACAGTCAGAGATGGACGGGCCAAGGAGACGGTAACCACAGCAACCGCCTCTCATTGCTTTTGGCAGTCATGAATCACGCTGTGCTCGTGTCTGTTTCCATGGCAATTGCGTGGCTGAGGAGCGGGAGGCTTTATTGTTGCAGCAGTTTCTTCTCTCTCAGGGTGGGGAAGGGGGGATGTTAGAGGGGTCCAGCTCCTAACACCCCTGCCCCCACCCCATTCAACACCCCCCCTCCCGTCTGTCGTCCTGGCAGATTCAGGGTCAGGTGACCCCGCACGCCATCGTGGTTCTGCCCAAGACGGACGGCATGGAGATGCTGCTGTGCTACGAGGACGAGGGCGTCTACGTCAACACCTACGGACGCATCACCAAAGACGTGGTGCTGCAGTGGGGCGAGATGCCCACCTCCGTCGGTACGTCAACCAATCAGCTCGCTTTTCCCTGACCCCACTGACCTCTGACCTCTGATAAGCGGTCTCAGCAGATCATCTTTCACCCTCACTATCTACCACACCCCTTCTCCGCTCAGAGCAACACGCTTGCCTTTTCTTGCCTTTTGCTTTCACCTTTAAACAAGAAGCCCAGACTGTCGTCTCACTCACCTGTTTCATTACCTGCTTAAAGGGATACAGCAGGTTTGGGCACTTGGTCAACTCAGAGCAGTGAGCTGATGAGAACAAACTGTCTCCATCGCCTCCGTTACCTCTTTCTACGTCTTTACCGTGTGAGAAAATTTTAGTCAGTTTATTTTAAAATCAGCACAAGATTTAGAAAAAGTAACCGTGCTGGCTCAGAGGGAGTGACTTTGATTTGAACTTTTACAAAAAGTAATCATGATTAAACTCTTTATATTACAAATATACTCTGCATACACTTTAGTCAACACATAGTGTGGCCACCCTGAAGCACACCTGGTTTATTTTCTTATGTAAGGTCCAAACTTCACTAAATGAACACCAGGTTTAATTCAGCAAGACATGAAACCAGGACTGAGATTAGGGGAGAGTGAGGGCCATTTTCTCAACGACTTCATTGCATTTTGACTTGTCTTTGCAACCCGAGCAACTGATCAGGACTAAAAGTAAAATGTTTAGTTAAATGTAGACAAAATGATTCAGTGGTCACATCCTCACACATCCAGCATTGACCTGGGGGAATTGCAACAAACTCGATGTGTCTGCAAATCCTTAAAACCAGGCAAGCTTTAGCAACACGCACACGCCAGGATCATGGAGAGTTTAGTGTCAGTGCTCTCATCACACGACGGGTAAGTTGACCAAATGTATGACATCCCAAAACCTCGACGTATCCCTTTAACGTTAAGTGTTGAACATCCAGCGGCTGCATGAGCTGATAGCAGCGGATCTTTGCCTTCCTCACTCCCAGCTCTCACAAGTCGTTTACTGTCTGCTCGTTCTTCTTTGTGAATTGAGTTTGTGTCGTGTGTCTGCTGTGTTAACTTCTGTCCTCTTGTTGTGTCTCGTTGTTGACCGTGAAACATTTCAAAAGGCACTTTCTCATCATCCGCTCTTCCTTTCATCCTTGATTGCTCGAGCTCTGCAGTAACCCGGTCCAGACAAAACGTTTGTGAGATCCAGCAGCAAAGCAACGAGATGAAAGCTCTGCACCAGATCAATGCAGGGGCAGCACATCTAAATTCATCTATTATTTAGAAGTAGCGTGAGTGCATCAGAGCGCAGCCGAGCATGAGGGGTGGATCTTGAATCTTACGATCCAAGTCAGTCAAAGCTGGTGTGTGTCTCCGCCCATCCTCACTCTTACAGATTCCTCTGTGCTTAACCCTGAATGACAAAAACACGTGTGTGACTGTGTCTCTGTCCTGGAGCACTGTTGCTGACGTGTCACATTTTCTGTGTGGGCATCGTCTCCTGTTAACATGTTTTTGTGTATTTAACTGTCAGACCAGATTGTCTCACAGCCAAGCCCGGCTTCGACCCCTCCCCCACCCCATAAAAACGTAAACGCCTGACTTATTTAACTCGCCGCTGCGCTTATAAACACCCAACCGATCCCGATCCTCCGTATGTGGGACCCTTTTTGTCTTTTCTCCCACATGAGAATAAAAAGAAGCACCAAGAAGCTGCACGGACCCTGGGTGACCAGGTGGACCGGCCTGAACACGGTTTTAATAACTTCTGATAAAAGAAAAGATATCAAAAAATCTATTAGTGCCACTTTTCCTGAGCTTGTAGTTTAGGGACTTTCCCTCCAGTATTCTGGTGAAGCATTAATATAAATGAAATGGAAGCTTCTGGCACAACTTCACTGCACTGTGAAAGTGCATGAAACAGAACAAAGATCTAAAGAGGTCAAAGTCCAGCAACATTTATTAATTAACCTTCATCAGCCTGATCAAGAACTATACTGCACACAGCATGCAGGTAACATATGTAATAGAGTAGAGCAGGGGTCCCCAATCCCAGGCCACGAGGGCCGGTGTCCTGCAGGTTTTAGATCTCACCCTGGGTCAACACACCTGAATCACATGATTAGCTCATTACCAGCCTCTGCAGAACTTCAGGACATGTTGAGGAGGTCATTTATCCATTCAAATCAGCTGTGATGGATCAAGGACACATCTAAGACCTGCAGGGACACCGGCCCTCGAGGCCTGGGACTGGGGACCCCTGGAGTAGAGAGAAAAAATTTACACCCAATCAGCTCCATCCTGTATATTTATACAGGTCATTTGGGGCGTGAACAGGAAGAGGATACATCTGAGTGATAATTTAAGTTTTTCCTCACACAGTGTTACACACATCCACTATGAGGGGGAAATAAATGTAAAACAAATAAACTGGTAAAAAGGTATATATAGATTTATAATTATGATCTTCTGGGGCGATCGTGGCTCAAGAGTTGGCAGTTCAGCTTGTAATCGGAAGGTTGCTGGTTTGAGCTCCGGCTCCAACAGTCTCGGTCGTTGTGTCCTTGGGCAAGACACTTCACCCGTTGCCTACTGGTGCTGGTCAGAGGGCCCGGTGGCGCCAGTGTCCGGCAGCCTCGCCTCTGTCAGTGCGCCCCAGGGTGGCTGTGGCTACAATGTAGCTGCCATCACCAGTGTGTGAATGTGTGGATGTGTAAAGCGCTCTACAAATACAAATACAGGCCATTTACCATTTCTCACTTTTATCAGAAATTAAGCAACACAATAGAATCTATAAAATCAAACTTCTTCTTATGATTTAAAAAAGAAGCTGAAACTTCTGGGGCTTAAATATTTATCTCTTTATCTTTTTTAACCCTCATTCAACCAGCAAGTGAAACTCTTGAGATTAAGGTTCATTTCCTCTGAGAGCGCGCTGGTCTGAGAGAGGCAGCATTAACAGAATAAAGCAGAGAAACCTCACACAGCAGAAATAAGGAGATCCTGAACTTTCCCACTGTAGTGCACATCACAAACAAACATTTCCCGCTAAACCTTCTTGAGACTTCACCATCATTTTAGGGGAGCGTTCACTTTAAAAGGCCACGGCTGTGCACAGCTGGGCGAGCTGTCATCATTTACTGGCCTCCACCCTGCGGACTCACAGTGTTCCCTAATCCTGCAACTAGGTTAAACTGGGTTCTGCTCTTACAGTTTTCCGATTGGCTGACTTTGCCCTTAAACGCTGTAATGACACTGCTGCTGGACAGCCAGGTGCAATGTGGCAGCTCAGATAACTGCTTTACATCAAAGCGACGAGGTTTGCCAGACAGCAGGCCTGCGACGCGTCTCTCCCAACGCTGGTCGTTCACATCCGTCAGAAACTGCTGCAATAATCTCCCGGAAGTGAGGCGGAGGAGGCCTCGAGGTGTGACTGGCCTGGGTGTGAGACTGGTGCTGAGTCTTCTCCTGTCCAACCCCCTTCTGTGTGTGTGTGTGTGTGTGTGTGTGTGTGTGTGTGTGTGTGTGTGTGTGCGTGTGTGTGCGTGTGCGCGTGTGCACCCTTTCCTCCCCTGCAGCCTACATCCACTCCAATCAGATCATGGGCTGGGGAGAGAAGGCCATTGAGATCCGGTCCGTGGAGACGGGACACCTCGACGGAGTTTTCATGCACAAGCGAGCTCAGCGACTGAAGTTCCTGACGGAGAGGAACGACAAGGTGAGTCTGTGCACACACAGCGTGCACGAGCGAAGGCGCCACACCTGAAACACACCTGTATGACGTGCTGCCCTCTCCCTGCAGGTCTTCTTCGCCTCGGTGCGTTCTGGAGGCAGCAGTCAAGTCTTCTTCATGACCCTCAACAGAAGCTCCATGATGAACTGGTAACCCTTCCACCTCTTGGACCCGCAACCCTTGTTTTCTTCACCCTGAACATTGGCCACTGAGGGATGGAGGGATGACAGGAGGACGGCGTATGTGTGTGTAAATGTGTGCGTGCGTGTGTTTGTGGATAAACGGACAATTGAGCATCAGGAGAAAACTGCAGGAGTGGGCCCACCCCACACACACCCCCCTCCAGCTGCAGGGGGCACTACAGGGCCCCCGCGGACGGTGCCACTGCCTGCTGAGCAAAGGCGACTCCTCGTGCTGTCGGCGGACGACGCCTCCTCCTGCCCTGCAGGCCAACGGCTGCTGTGGACATGCCGAGTAGCCTTCGACCTCCCCGTTCGATTGAGTGAGGAGCTGCAGAGTGTAGCACATCAGTGACTTTACATCACAGCAGTGTTCACACTGCGGGCACAGCGGCAGGTGGCCTGGCGTGTGACAGTGAAAGCTGGTACTGCTTCTTATACTGTGATTAAATTAGGTTAGAAGCACGAGCGTCCACACTAAGCCTGCTGGATCTGACAGTTTTGTGGATTTGAGCGCCACCAAATGAACGTTGACGATCGTGAGGATGTTTTGTCACCTGCACACAACGTGGTTTCTGGCTGCCTTTAAGTTTCTGCTGAGACAAACTAGTCCCTCGAAATAATCGCCTTCCTTTGTCTCGATGCACATTTGACTCAGTAAGAAGTGAGAGGGGTGCGCACAGACGGCTTTATTTAAGGTAGTGTTAAAAGAATAGAGATCATGGCAAAGACTTATTTATAGCCAAAAGCGACTCGCTTTGCAGAATCTTTCAAATAAAGAATTTCAGGCTTTAGAAGAAGTTAAAAAATCCTCAGAGAGAAATTGTTTTGTTAGTTTCTCAAAAGCAGAGGAAGAGATATGAATGACGCAGTGGAAAGAGAATTAGTGTGACCTTAACCTCCCAGGACCTGGCGTCCACAGATGTGGCTTATTTAGACCAAAATACTCAATTTTGCTCTACAAGGGCCTGATATCCACTTACAAGATCGTTTTACTGCCACTGTTCTATCGAAATTTTAAACAAATATCCTCATATGTGGCTCTGATGTTTCTTAGAAACAAAAATCAGGTAAAAAAAAAATCTGGTAATTCTGTGTTTAAATAATCATCAGGACCCAATCAGCCCAAATATCAACGAGAAATTAAACATGCTGCCGTGGAAGAGTTCAGGTCTGAGGAGGTTAAATGACTAACACAGTCTCAAAGCTTTCTATTAATCAGAGACAAATCTAGCTACAGTTTTGTGGTGACAAGTCTAACCCCGTTTTTAAGCCTCACTTTCATCAGTCTGGGCTCATAAAAATAACCTGACAGTTTGTGTCCATGAACATGACAAAAACAGTTTGCCTTGTCACGACTTTCGTGTTTTGTTATGAGACTGTGCTGACATGAGAAATGATGGCCGAGTGCAAAATAGACGCTCACGCTGAGCTTATCAGTAATAATTTTTACTTTTTTAGTAATCCATACCCGTTCAGTACACGTTCTACGAAACGAAGAGAGCAAAGTCTGAGTCGAGCCCTGACGCTGTCCCCCTCGGATGCATGTTTGCTGTTATGTGAGCAGCTTCTGTCATATTTCAGGCCTGCGTCGAGAGCAAAACCACTGGGTGTGCATCACTGTGGCCTCTGCAGCTTACTAGAGCTGTATCGGCAGTATAGGCAGCTTCTGGGTTGAAAAGCAAAGAACCTTTTCAATGGTGATCAAACCACATGTTTATTGGTATTATTGAGGTGTCAGAGCCCGTTAAGGATACGGGGGAGGACGTCAGATGTCATCTTTATGGAGGAAAGACTCAAACATGAAGGCTCTTCCTCACAGTGGCTAATACACGTTATGAATTTAACACTGGAATCTATCTGCAGATATCCAAACCTGCAGAGCCAAAGCTGTGTCTCATATGTGAACTGGAAGAAGCTGAATCGGTGCTTCCAAAAACCAACAAATGTGTGTGTTGAAATTCTAAAACACCCAGGCTTAGTGTGGATAAGCTGCTTGTTGTCACGCCGATAACGATGTTTAAATGTTTTGTCTCAGACCGATGTAGCTCTTTGTTCCAGCAGGAAACCACGAGGCCGTGCAGACGGCGTTTCTCACAGTGTGAACACTGATGCTGCTGCTGTTCTTCCCCGTCGGAGGCTACAACAGTTCAGACGAGCAGCGAGTGTCGCGGAGCTGCTGCACAGCCGGCTGCTTTGTCCCGGTTTGTTCCCAGCAGGGGGAGGGAGGTTGTAGATATTGTACCATTGCTGCAACAGCAACACAACAACAAAAGTATTCCCGTCATTTTCTCACAGGAAGAACTCAGCTGTAGAGTAGGCGCCACCTTCTGGAGGTTTTTACTCTCGTCTGTCCACGCTGCTGTGTGCACTCGTGTAAATACTCACTTTGATGTTAAGGACAGACAAAGAAAATAATGACAGTCTAGCTTTTTATCCTTTCTTTTCTGGCTCATCCCTTTGTGAATCTGTCGACGCTTTAGGGGGACTAAGCTCAAAAGTTTCGTTTGGATTTTTCTCTCCATAATTCATTTGCCTTTATTTCGTTTTTGCATGATGGCATTCGTGTTTTTTTACATTACTTGTTATGAGTTGTAAATTTGAGGCAATACGCGGTGGGGCGGGGGACGTCTGACTGTGTACCCTACATCTCTGAGCTGAAAACAACAGCTGGGCTTTTATCTGCTGAACTGCACACTGGAGGATCACACGTTTACCATTAAAGTTTTTATGTTCACGATCATTTCCAGAGTGCAGCTGGTAAAGAGCGAGCAGGAGCGTCTTCTTAAAGGCTGGAGCTGAGCCTTTGCTGACTGTACGCGCTTGTGTTTATAGAAGGAAGCTGCTCCATCCTTTACTTGATCTTCTTTTGCTGTTTTTAAAAGAGATGGTGGAGGGGGCGAGTGATGGCGCGTTAAGGCCAGCTGAAGCCTTTTACATGTGCAGGATGTTAGCAGCACCCTGTGAATAAAGGTCAGGAGGCAGGGTCAGCTTGAGAAACCATAGATTAAAAAAAGAGATATATACTGTAAGAATTTTCGTTATGATGATGATATCCTACTGATCATTTTAGAGAAAGACAAAAAAATAATGTTCACTTATTAAAGCATAGTTGTCTTTCTACAGAATAGAGAACATAGCTATAAGAATTTCTAAAAAAAAATCAAACAGTACAATGTTTTTATTGTGGTATTATTTGTATTTGTATTTCAATTTTTGTACGTATCAAGACTGTGAACATATGTACGATTGTTAGCCTCTGAGTGTGCGTGAGTGTGCGTGAGTGCGTGTGTGTGCGCGTGCGTGGAGGTGAGCAGGTGTGTGCACAGGTGTGTGACATGCATGTGAGTTTTCACCCCGTCTGAATCACTGGAATCAATCAAAAGACAACCTCGACCTGGTAACACGCATCTGTGGTGTTGGGAATTCTACAATAAATGTCCTCTCCTTGTACAGCAACCACACCTGACCCGCTCTCTTTATTCATACCCGAGTCACACGGCAGCTTCTGTGTTCTGAGTGAGATAAAGACTGGACGTTAGACCTAATAGGAAAAACACTCATTTGTTTTAGTCCCAGAATTTCTACAGGCTGCAGCACAGATTCACAAACAGTCCTGGAAACACTCCTCAGAGATTTTGTTCCATATTGAGATGAAAGCATCGCACAGTTGCTGCAGGTTTGTTGGCTTCACATTCACAAATTCTGACGCCACAACCATGCCACATTCAAAGTCAGTTAAATGACCTTTCTTCCATCTGAATGTTGCAGACCAGGCAACATTTTTGCACTCTTCTGTGGCTAACTTTTAGTGAGCCTGTGTGGTCTGTAACCTCAGGAGGCTCAACTGGCGTGGTCTTCTGCTGCCGTTGCACATCTGCTGCAAGCTTTGTGCTCCTCTGCACACCCTGGTTGTAACAACTCGTTAATTAAGTTATTGTTGCCTTCCTATATATTCAAAGCGGTCTGGAAAAATTGACTTTATGTACGAAACATCCATGTATGTTGTTAAAAAGATAACTGAATGTGGCAAGGCTGTACTTTAGGGTAATACCAATTTGTACCAGATGGTGTTGTTATTCAGTGTAAGCTTTATTTAACAAGGCAAGTTATAAAGAACACGTTTTTATTTCCACTGACAAAAAAGTAAAGCATCTTGAAGAAATGGAAGTAGAGCTAAAAGGAACGTTTAAAGAACCAGAGCGTGTCATCTGAAAACATCAGAACACCTAGTTGGGAAAAAAGCTGCCAGACTTAAAGCTGACTGAGGTCCTTTGGGATGACCTTAAACATCCCATTCATCCTGGAATATCCTCCAGTGTGGCTGAATTAAAACATTTCTTCAAAGAAGAGTGGGCCAAAGTTCCTCCACAGTGATGTGAAACACTTGTTGTCCATTATCACAAACACTTGTTTGCAGTTTTTACTGGTGAGGGAGGCACAACTAGTTTAAGAGGCAACTGGGCAGCAGATCAGAAGGACTGCACCTCTCTGACTAACATTAAAATTTGTTTTATCAGAAATGTTTAAGTGTGACAAATGTGCAAAATAGATTCAAATAAATAAATCAGGAAGTAGCCAAATCCTTTTTAACTGTAGACACATGCATGTTCCTTTATCCATCAAACACTGAGCTGGTCACTGCATAGGCTTCAGGGAAACTACAGAGAACCACCAAGAGTGACCAAAGCTCAGTGCATCTGCACATTATGTTCACACTCTACCATGTAACGTCTTAATGCATGCTCGATCCAGGTAAGGAAATCCCAAAACGTTGATTCTGTTCATCAGGATGTAACGTTTTCAGCGGGAGAAACGTTCTGCCACTCATCCAAGTGACTACGAAAAACCAAAATAACAGAGTTTCAGAAACGTACCGCACACAAAGAATTAAAGAGGACATCACACAGCCAGTACCCCTGATGGGATCAGGGGCATTAGTACACGTTTCTCGGCTAACATTAATGCTGAATGTGTTATGTTGAAGCAACATATGTTTAAAGCCAAACTAATGGATGGAGACCTTAAACTTCATAGCATCTACAGAGTAAAAGGATCTTTACATATTTATCAGTACTTTAAATTAGTATCAAATGTACTAAGGAGTGAGGAGTGTCCTAAGAAGATGGAAGGAGTTTTGCCACTAGGAGGCGTTAGAGAAAATTCACTGATTCTATGTTATACATGAATACGAATGTCATGTATATGATCGCCTAATGGCGATTTATTCTTGCCACTAGGTCATGTAAATATCTAGGAGCAGTTTATTAAGGTTCAACAAAACACCTCACCAACGTTCTGCATGTCTTCCTCCACTACATCCATGAACCCTCTCTGAGGTGAGGTCTTCCTCCTTTCCGCTAGTTCCATCTTCATCATCCTTTGTCCATTATAACCCCAGTCCTTCCTCTGCACATGTCCAAACCATCACAGCCTTGCTTCTCAACCTGAGCTGTTCCTCTGATGTTTTAATTAACATCTTCTGCTCTTCCTCCTGTTTTTGTTGTCAGTACCACCGTGTCCAATTCATACATCACAGCAGGCATCGCTACCATCTTGAAAACCTTCCCTTTCAGTCTTGCTGCTATCCTTCTGTCACAAATAAACATCTGCACCCACTCGACTCTGCCTGCACTCTCTTATTCACTGTCCATTACTTTGGCTGGTTGACCTCAGGTATTTAAACTCATCTATCTTCACTACCTCTGCTCCTTGCAGCCTCACTGCTACACCGATCTCCCTGTCATTCATAAATGTCTTTTTTCTTCTGATTTTCATCCCTTTTCTCACCAGTGCATACCTCTACCTCTCTGCCACGTGCTCCCTGCTGTCACTACAGCTCACAATATCATCTGTAATACCATAGTCCACAGAGCATCCTGACAGACCTTATCTGTCAGTCTGTGCACCATCACTGCAAACATGTAGGGACTCAAACCAGGCCTGTCACTTC